CCGTCCCTCTCCACCTCCAGCCGTCCATGCTGGTGGTGCCTGAAGTGGAAGACGTGTACACTCCGCTGCCCTCTGATCCCATAGAGACCATACTTTCCCTAATACCAACCAATCCACCCCCCACCTTCACTACCCCTCCCTCCTTGTGCCCCTGTCATCTCCCTTCCCCAGCCGTCCATGCTGGTGGTGCCTGAAGTGGAAGACGTGTACACCCCCCTGCCGTCAGACCTCATTAGTTCTAACTAGACATGAGCACGAGACGAGTCGAGCCGGGCTTGTCTCGAGTCGGCTGTGGCTCGCCCGACCCTCGAGCCGAGTCAAGTCGAGCCAGGCCGAGCCGACTTGTGACCTCAGTTGGCTCGTGGCCCGGGCAATGTACCCGAGCCAGTAAAGGGCTTGGGTCGAGCCATATTGGCTCGTGACGAGCCGAGCCAGGCTCGACTCGAAAAGTAATTATTCATTTATCGATCTACAGAATCATGATCAAGGCACGAAAACACGCGCCCGGCGAGGTTGTCGAATGATTTTAGATCGGCAGTCTAATGCGGTCTCGCCGCTACGAGGTGCGAAATGATAAAGAAACTCCTTGGTGAGGCACGAAACCACGCGCGAGGTTGTCGAGCAATTAGACCTGCACAGAAACCCTAATTTCGACCCGCAAACTTTTGACGAATTTGTCGTGCTTGAGAAAAGAGGGGAGGGGCTGGGGGAGCTTGAGAAGGGATAAGCGAACAAAGCGAGCTTAACGAAGCTGGATACAGAATGCTTACGAACGCTTTCAGGAACCAGTCGAGAGTCAACAAGAATTCCGTTGTTTTCGCCACCTCTATTGAATGAACACAAAGGTTTTGCTCGGGTGTCGTTGAGATTGGTCTGTGCAGTTTAGTTCACTGTGCATCTCTCCCCCCTTTTTCGGAAAGGAAAACAATTTTCGATCTGGGGATGATCTGATTTGTACGCTGTGTAGCGTAGTTATTACCGCTAGCAACGCGATCCACGGAATCACGAATTAAGACCTATGCCTCAGACCCCCAACTCGTCACTCGTCACATAAAAACGACGAGCCAGCCAAAGGCTCGCGACGAGTCAAATTGACTTGCGAGCCATCCCTAGCTCGCCGAATTTGCTTCGCCGAGCCGAGCGGCTCGCCCGGCTCGACGAGCCATGCTCGACTCGGCTTGATCCGAGACAAAGGGCCAAAACTGAAGGCTCGACTCGGGAGAAACTCGAGGCGAGCCTGTCGAGCCGAGTCAAGGCTCGTCGATCTGCTCATGTCTAGTTCTAACGGTCCCCTGCCACTCTTTCCCCACTCCACGATGCCTGCGCCCACCTTGCCCCCTCCCTCTCCACCTCCAGCCGTCCATGCTGGTGGTGCCTGAAGTGGAAGACGTGTACACTCCGCTGCCCTCTGACCTCATCGTTCCGCTTGACGAGGTAGAGTCCTGTAGCTATGGTACGCTTGAGTCGGAGCTTCACTGACCCATGACACTCCCATGATGATCAGGCCATGGGATGGCAGGTCATGTCATTCCCATGCCGTTCTACCTTATTATACCGTTTGATGAGGCGAGCTTTAGTTAGAAGCAGCAATCATTGCACAGATGTTTGCCATGGGATGGGAGAATTCTTAAATGTCAGAATAACACGCGTTGCCGTTTCTTGCCCCCTGAAACGATCCCCTGTGGGCACTCATTACTACCCCATGATGCTGCAGGGTGTTTTTGAGAATTCTCACAAACACCCTGCAACCCTAAGCCCTCTTATTCCCCTGTCATCCCTTCCCATCCGTTCTCATCCCCTCTCATCCGTTCTCATTCCCTCTCATTTCCTCTCATCCCCTCTAATCCCCTCTCATCCTCATCCCTTCTCATCCTCATTCCCCCATCAGGGAGTGGCTGCAGCAGCTGCTGGAGTCGATTCCTCAAATGTTTGCTGAGACTCGCGTGGCTGACTGACTCGTGCCTGATATGAGCCCCTGCCTGCCCTCTCTCTCTACCCTCTCAACTCGAAACCCTCTCATCTCCTCCCCTCCTTTTGTTCCCCCATCAGGCGCAGGAGAGGCTGCAGCAGCTGCTGGAGTCGATCCCCCAGATGTTTGCAGAGACACGTGTGGCTGACTCATGCCTGGGCGCAGCGCTGCAGGTGAGTGATAGAGGAGGAAGGGGGAAGGGGAGGGGCAGCGTTGCGTTGCAGGAGTGTGTGTGGGTGTGCTTTGTTTGTGCGTGGGTGCGGGAGCAACTGCAGCAGCTGCTGGAGTCAATAATACAGATTTTTGCCGAGACACGTGTCGCTGATTCATGCCTGGGGGCAGCGCTGCAGGTGAGTGTGTTTTCTGTGCGTGTGTCTGGATAGGGGATGGGTGGGTGTGGGAGCGGCTGCAGCAGCTGTTGGAGTCGATTCCTCAGATGTTTGCCGAAACACGTGTTGTTTGCGTTTTTTTGTTCCTCGCTCCCGCTTCCATCTCCCTCCCCACTCTCCTCTCCTCTCCCACTGCCTCCTCTTCTGCCACTCCTCTTCTCTCTCTCTCTCCCTCCAGGGTGCTTTCCTAGCCATGAAGAAAACAGGAGGCCGGATCCTAGCCTTCCAGTCAGGTACTATTGCCCATTCCAGCTAGCTTGGCAGATACTGCCTTCCATACACACCCACAATGCTGGCACCTCTGTCTGGTCCTCTAGCTGGATACTTGAATCGTGTGTATTCATGTACCCGTGTCTCGTTTTCGGAATAGGTTCGTAGCGCATGAGCTGGAAAAAGTCATTTCGTTGCAGCCAAACGACAAGATGCAAGGCCAAACGACAAGATGCAAGGCCTTTGCTGTGTGGCTTCCCTTCTCTCCCCGGCCTTCGTTCCCTGCCCCTCTCCTCCTCCAGCTCTCCCCTCTGCTGGAATCGGGTCGTTCTTGTCTCGAGAATCCAAAGGGAGGGCAAGCGCGATAGTGGCGGATAAAGACATGCTGAAGCTGCTGAAGCTCAACGACAAGCAGCTCACATCCTTCCCCCCCCCTCTTCCTTCTACCCCGTCCCGCCCCCCCTCTTCCTTCTACCCCGTCCCGCCCTCCCTGTTCCTTCTGCCCCGTCCCACCTTCCCTGTTCCTTCTGCCCCGTCCCACCTTCCCTGTTCCTTCTGCCCCGTCCCACCTTCCCTGTTCCTTCTGCCCCGTCCCACCTTCCCTGTTCCTTCTGCCCCGTCCCACCTTCCCTGTTCCTTCTGCCCCGTCCCACCTTCCCTGTTCCTTCTGCCCCGTCCCACCTTCCCTGTTCCTTCTGCCCCGTCCCACCTTCCCTGTTCCTTCTGCCCCGTCCCACCTTCCCTGTTCCTTCTGCCCCGTCCCACCTTCCCTGTTCCTTCTACCCCGTCCCACCTTCCCTGTTCCTTCTGCCCCGTCCGCAGTTCTTCCTTCTGTTGGCATCGGATCACTTTCCTCTCGGGAAGCAGAGGGACGAGCAAACGCCACCGTTGCAGATAAAGACGTGTTGAAGCTGCTGCAGCCAAACGACAAGCAGCTGAGGCCAATGGCGGAGGAAATGGCGGATTTCCAAGTGGCGGTTGACGTGTTTCTGACCTCGCAGGGATTTGCCGATGCGGCTTCCATCGCTGTCATTCCCAGGATCACCGGCGGACAGGTGAGGGTGCGGCATGGCTTGCAATTGTGTGCGGCTGGTGAGTGAGCGTGCGAGGAAATGGCAGATAAGAACAGGTTCGACCTGGATCTTAATCTTCTCTAGGCTGAGCGTGCGAGGAAATGGCAGATAAGAACAGGTTCGACCTGGATCTTAATCTTCTCTAGGCTGAGCGTGCGAGGAAATGGCAGATAAGAACAGGTTCAACCTGGATCTTAATCTTCTCTAGGCTGAGCGTGCGAGGAAATGGCAGATAAGAACAGGTTCGACCTGGATCTTAATCTTCTCTAGGCTGAGCGTGCGAGGAAATGGCAGATAAGAACAGGTTCGACCTGGATCTTAATCTTCTCTAGGCTGAGCGTGCGAGGAAATGGCGGATTTCCAAGTGTCGGTGGATGTGTTCTTAACGACTCAGGGGTTTGCCGATGCAGCCTCGATCGCTGTCGTTCCCAGAATCACAGGCAGGCAGGCAGGTGAGGCCGTGCAATCCGTGTGTGTGGGGCAGGCATATGATGTGCGTGCAGTGAGGTGTATTTCGAGGCGCCTCAAAATACACCTCACTGCATACGATGCGGGCAAGCTGCACAACAACTTACGCTGGGCTGTCAGACGAACCTTCCTCCTCTCACTCACTTTTCTCTCTTTCCAGCCTCCGCACACGCTCCCTCCTCGCCCCTCGCCCCAGCTCGACAGCTACTATCCCTTCAGTGTGGCGCATGCTGGGGGTAAGTTGCTCAGCGGCCTGCTTTGGGCTGCGAGGCGACCTGCTTTGGGCTGCGAGGCGACCTGCTTTGGGCTGCGAGGCGACCTGCTTTGGGCTGCGAGGCGACCTGCTTTGGGCTGCGAGGCGACCTGCTTTGGGCTGCGAGGCGACCTGCTTTGGGCTGCGAGGCGACCTGCTTTGGGCTGCGAGGCGACCTGCTTCCTGATATATCCCCTTTTCATGAACCTCCCATGCTCCCATACACCTGTCCACTCCCCCCACCTCTCCCCACCGTTCACCAGCTCTACAGCTACTACCGCTTCAGTGCGGCGAACGACGGGGGTAAACTGCATAACGACTTGTGCTGGGCTGTGAGACGGCCCTTCAACCCATTGAGAACCTCTTCTCACACACTTCCCATACCTTCTTTCACCTCCCCATAAACCTCCCCACCGCTCTCCCCCCAGCTCTACAGCTACTACCCCTTCAGTGCAGCGCATGACGGGGGTAAACTGCATAATGACCTGCGCTGGGCTGTGAGACGGCCGCACACGTTCGAAGGGGTTATGAAAGTGCGGTGCAGCCAGGTGAGAACAACAGACCAGACAGGTGAGATCTCAGGTGAAAACAACAGACGGGGCCATGAGACGGCCGCACACGTTTGAAGGAGTCATGAAAGTGCGGTGCAACCAGGTGGAGACAACAGAGCAGGCAGGTGGGCTCATGTGGAGACAACAGAGCAGGCAGGTGGGCTCAGGTGGAGACAACAGAGCAGGCAGGTGGGCTCAGGTGGAGACAACAGAGCAGGCAGGTGGGCTCAGGTGGAGACAACAGAGCAGGCAGGTGGGCTCAGGTGTCTGACGACTTCTGCAACTTCCATCGCTGCATCCCTGCAGACTAGTTCGGTATTATTGAGAATTCTAAAAAATACCCTACATGCGCTTACTGATACAACCTCTCCTCCTTTCCTCCCTCCCTTTCTCCCCCGCGCCCTCTCTGCAGGGCCTGTCCGTGTCCGATTGCTTTGGCAACTTCCATCGCCGCATCCCTGTTGGCCAATCATACTGCCCACACCACCGTTTCCTCCCCTCCTTCCCCCCCCGCCCTCTCTGCAGGGCCTGTCTGTGTCCGATTACTTCGGCAACTTTCACCGCCGCATCCCTGCCGAAATATATCTGCCAGCGGTGCGTCCCTCTGAGTTGTTTCGGGCAATTTATTATGTGGGGATCTTTTGAGGCGCCTCAAAATTCATTCTGTTACGTTTGGATCTTTTGAGGCGCCTCAAAATTCATTCTGTTACGTTTGGATCTTTTGAGGCGCCTCAAAATTCATTCTGTTACGTTTGGATCTTTTGAGGCGCCTCAAAATTCATTCTGTTACGTTTGGATCTTTTTGAGGCGCCTCAAAAGTCATTCTGTTACGTCATGCTCAAAAGTGGATCTTTCTGCTTCTTTGAGCTTTTGGACTTTCACAAGGACGACCCTTGCTGCCCGTCCTGGCCCCACCCTGTATTGTCACGTGCTCTTATAATCACGCTCATTCAATCACGTGCGTATAATCACAATTTAATGGACAGCGACAAGATCATTATGGAAACCATTAAACACACTGTTAGGCGTGTCACCACATTAGTACCCTCTCTTTTGAGTCGACTCAAAAGTCACCTCGTCACCACAGATGACTTTTGAGTCGACTCAAAAGTCACCTCAAAAATGGACAGCGACAAGATCATTACGGAAACCATTAAACACACTGTTAGGCGTGTCACCACATTAGTACCCTCTCTCCCTTCCTTCCCTTCCCCCCCCTTCCCCCTCCCCCTTCCCCGCCCTTCCCCCTCCGCCTTCCCGGGCACCCTTACTCCCCTTTAACCACACCCAGATGGACAGCGACAAGGCCATCATGGCAACCATCAAGCACACCGTTAGGCATGTTATCACATTAGTACCCTACCCTCTCCCCCCCTCTCCCTTTTCAACCACACCCAGATGGACAGCGACAAGGCCACCATGGCAACCATCAAGCCGTTCCTGCTCTCAACCTGTGTTGTCACATCCTCCTCTAATCACTCTCATACAACTACACTTCTCCCCCCTTTTTTTACCACACCCAGATGGACAGTGACAAGGCCATCATGGCAACCGTCAAGCACGATGAGAAACTCGCAGAGAACAGCGAAGCCTGCTTTCAGGTGGGCCTCTGTTGCTTCCAGGTGGGTCTCTGTTGCTCTCAGGTGGGTCTCTGTTGCTCTCAGGTGGGTCTCTGTTGCTCTCAGGTGGGCCTCTGTTGCTCTCAGGTGGGTCTCTGTTGCTCTCAGGTGGGTCTCTGTTGCTCTCAGGTGGGCCTCTGTTGTTCCCGTGTTGGTCTTTCTTGCCCACCACTACTCCCACGTCTAAGTTTTGTTTCTTTCCCCTCTAACTTATTCTCACTTACCCCTCCCTCTGCAGTGCGCCTTTCTCTACACCACCACCACGGGGGAGAGGCGCATGCGAGTGCACACCCTCTCGCTGCCCACCCCACCACTCTCTTCCGTACCCTCCCCTTCATCCCCTCTCCTGCCCTGCATGTCCCCCCCTTTCTCCCTCCCTGCAGTGCGCCATTCTCTACACCACCACCACGGGGGAGAGGCGTGTGCGAGTGCACACCCTCTCGCTGCCCACCACGGCCTCTCTGGCCTCTGTGTTCCGCGGGGCTGATCTGGATGCGCAATTCGCGTACATGCTCAAGACAGGTGGGTTGGGGACGGTGAGGAGTGGTGAAGAGGGATAGTGTAAGGGGGTGTGTGTCTCTTGAGTGCACACCCTCTCGCTGCCCACCACGGCCTCTCTGGCCTCTGTGTTCCGAGGGGCTGATCTGGACGCGCAATTCGCGTACATGCTCAAGACAGGTGGGTTGGGGACGGTGAGGAGTGGTGAAGAGGGATAGTGTAAGGGGGTGTGTGTCTCTTGAGTGCACACCCTCTCGCTGCCCACCACGGCCTCTCTGGCCTCTGTGTTCCGAGGGGCTGATCTGGACGCGCAATTCGCGTACATGCTCAAGACAGGTGGGTTGGGGACGGTGAGGAGTGGTGAAGAGGGATAGTGTAAGGGGGTGTGTGTCTCTTGAGTGCACACCCTCTCGCTGCCCACCACGGCCTCTCTGGCCTCTGTGTTCCGAGGGGCTGATCTGGACGCGCAATTCGCGTACATGCTCAAGACAGGTGGGTTGGGGCTGCATGTGCAACACTGGTGTGTTGTGAAGGGGTTTAGATGTGTTTGTAAGCACACCCTCTCGCTGCCTTCTATTGCTAGCCTCTGTGTTCCGCGGGGCTGACCGGGCACCCAATTTGCGTACGCGCCAAAGACTGCTGGTTCCTGCACCCTTCGCTTTCCCCCTTTCGCACCCCCCTACAGCTGCTGACAAGCAGTGCGGACGGCAGTGAGCAATGAGCAGTGAGCATTTCGTTTCCTGTTCCTTCCGTCCCCCAACTCTCCTCTCCCTCCTATAGCTGTTATGGACGTGGTAAGCAGACCACCCGGTGCAACCAGTGCGGGATGCAGCAGAGCAGACTTTTGAGGCGCCTCAAATGCAGCAGAGCAGACAGCAGTGAGCATTCTCCACACCTACCGCTTCAACTTCTGTCATTCTTTCACTCTCTCCCTCTTCCTCCCCCTCCCCCCGCCTCTCCTACAGCTGCTGCGGACGTGGTAACCCACCCGGTGCAGCCAGTGCGAGACGCAGCAGTGCAGGCGGCAGTGAGCATTCTTCACACCTACCGCAAGTTCTGTTTATCCTTTTGCTCTCCCCATCCCCCTTCAACCTCTTCTCCTCTCCCCCCTACAGCTGCTGCGGATGTGGTAACGCATCCCGTGCAGCCAGTGCGAGACGCAGCAGTGCAGACGGCAGTACGCATTCTCTACACCACAACTACCACTGCAAGTCCCATTTCGTATTTTCCTTTTCCCCATTCCTCTCTCTTTCCTGCAGCTGCTGCGGACGTGGTGACTCACCCTGTGCAGCCAGTGCGAGACGCAGCAGTGCAGACGGCAGTGAGCATTCTCTACACCTACCGAAAGTTCTGTGCCACTGCCTCATCTTCCGGGCAACTTATCCTGCCAGAAGCACTCAAGCTGCTGCCCTTGTACACCCTGGGTGAGTGGTGGTCGTGTGGTTGAGTGTAGTATCCTTAAGCGCCTTGCCTCAGTCCTTCCATTCTATTCTCCACACCTACTGCAAGTTCTGTGCCACTGCCTCCTCCTCCGGGCAACTTATCCTGCCAGAAGCACTCAAGCTGCTGCCCTTGTACACCCTGGGTGAGTGGTGGTCGTGTGGTTGAGTGTAGTATCCTTAAGCGCCTTGCCTCAGTCCTTCCATTCTATTCTCCACACCTACTGCAAGTTCTGTGCCACTACCTCCTCCTCCGGGCAACTTATCTTACCAGAGGCCCTCAAGCTGCTGCCTCTCTACACTCTGGGTGAGTGGTGCAGTGGGGGTGAGTAGAGCCGTCTAAGTATGCAAGATACAGGCACACCACAAGCAGTAAGCAGTTGAAGTGCAGACAGCAGTGAGCATTCTCTACACCTACCGAAAGTTCTGTGCCACTGCCTCATCTTCTGGGCAATCGATTCTCCCATCATCCGATCACCCCACCCTCTTCCAGCACTTGTCAATTCAAGTTGCAGGGTGTGAGGGAAGACGCGAAGATGGACGAGCGGGCGGCGTGGCTGGCAAGAGTGCGGACCAGCTACTTGCTGGAGCACAGAGGACAGAGTACTTGTTGTTGCCAACACATCTCGTATCGCTGTCCTCTGTGCACTCCCCTTCCTCCGCCCCATCACCCCACCATCCCAACCTCACCACAGCCCTCCTCAAGTCACAGGGTCTGAGGGGAGACGTGAAGGTGGACGAGAGCTCCGCCTGGCTGGCGAGAGCTCATCCCCATCAGCACCTCTCGTCGATTCCCTGCCACTATGTTCCACCATCCCCATCACCGCCCCCCCTTGCCACCACCCCTACCCCCCCTCTTTCCCCCCCAGCGCTCCTCGAGTCACAGGTTCTGAGGGGAGACGTGAAGGTGGACGAGCGGTCGGCCTGGCTGGCAGGAGTGCGCACCAGCTACTTGTTGCCAACACACCTCGTATTTCCGTCCTCTGTGCACTCTCCTTCCTTGACCCCCATCCCTCCATCACCCCATCCCCCCCTCCTCCAGCCCTCCTCAAGTCACAGGGCTTGAGGGGAGACGTGAAGGTGGACGAGCGGTTGGCCTGGCGGGCGAGAATGAGTACCTCCTCTTAACGCATCTCGTATCTCCGTCCTCTCTGCACCCCCCTTCCTTCGCCCCATCCTCCCATCACCCCAATCTCGCCCAGCCCTCCTCAAGTCGCAGGGTCTGAGGGGAGACGTGAAGGTGGACGAGCGGTCGGCCTGGCTGGCGAGAGTGCGCCCCCTCTCTGCGTCGCTCTCTGTGCCCTTGGTCTACCCGCGCCTCTTTGCCCTGCACCACCTGCTCAAGGACGCAGCGAATCAGGTGAGATGACATTCTGTGAATGAAGGGAATTGATTTTATATGCACATAAAGTCGGCCTGGCTGGCGGGAGTGCGCCCCCTCTCTGCCTCGCTCTGCGTGCCTCTCGTCTACCCGCGCCTCTTCGCCCTGCACCACCTTCTCAAGGATGCCGCCAACCAGGTGAGTGTCACCTCGTTGCACCTCGCTTTACCGCTCTGCACCTCTTATCACCTCCTCCTGCAGCGTTCTGCACCCCTCTCTGCGTCGCTCTGTGTGCCTCTCGTCTACCCTCTCCTAGTCGCTCTGCACCCCCTTCTCAAGGATGCTGCCAACCATGTGAGCATCTCTGCACCTCTCTCTCTGCCACTCTGCACCTCCTGTCACCTCTCTTACCGGGTACCTCTCTCCACTGTCCGCCTTGCTCCGTGTGCCTCTCGTTTACCCGCGCCTCTTCGCCCTACTCCACCTCCTCAAGGACGCAGCGAATCAGGTGGGCATCTCTGCACCGCTGTCCACCACTCTGCACCTTTTGTCACCTCCCCCTGCACCACTCTGCACCACTCTGCCTCGCTCTGTGTGCCTTTCGCCTACCCACGCCTTTTTGCCCTGCACCACCTCCTGAAGGACGCAGCAAACCAGGTAAGTTTCATTCACTACTGAGTGTACTTATCTACACCACCCTGCAACTGTTGACACCTCGCCCTGCATCCCTCTCTGCCTCACTCTGCATCCCTCTCTGCCTCACTCTGCGTTCCTCTCGTCTACCCGCGCCTCTTCGCCCTGCACCACCTCTTGAAGGACGCAGCCAACCAGGTAAATGACACCTCACTCTACCGCTCTGCACCTCATGTCACCTCCTCCTGCACCGCTCTGCTCGCCTCTCTGCTCGCTCTGCATGTCTCTTGCCTACCTGCGCCTCTTCGCCCTGCACCACCTGCTCTGCTCTTAACTTCTTTCCCTCGTGTTTCCCCCTGCCGTCCGCACTGCCTCTCTAGAGTTTTGAGTCGACTCAAAACTCGACTTATCACACCCTGCCGTCCGCCCTGCCTCTCTCAAGCGAGAAGCTGGAGTCGGACGGGGTGTATCTGGAGGAGAACGGGGAGGAGGCCGTGGTGTGGGTGTGCTCAAGTGTTTTACTTTTCTCTCTTGCTTTGACCTCCCGCTTTCCCCTCTCCCATCTTTTCAGGAGCAGCAGAAGCAGCAGAACGGGACAGAGGAGGGGCAGGAGCAGCATGAGCATCTCCCCTCTGCGCGGCCCCTTTCCAGTGAAAAGCTGGAGCCGGATGGAGTCTTCCTGGTGGAAAACGGGGAGGAGGCGGTGGTGTGGGTGGGCTGATTCTCTGTTCTTGTCATCAAATCTCCCTCTTTGAACCCATCAGGAGCAGCAGAAGCAGCAGAACGGGACAGAGGAGGAGCAGCAGCACGAGCACCTGCCGTCTGCTCTCCCCCTCTCCAGTGAAAAGCTCGAGCCCGACGGGGTGTTTCTGGTGGAGAACGGGGAGGAGGCGGTGGTGTGGGTGGGCTCAAGTGTTTTTCTTTTCTCTCTTGCTTTGACCTCCCGTTTTCCCCTCTCCCATCTTTTCAGGAGCAGCAGAAGCAGCAGAACGGGACAGAGGAGGAGCAGCAGCACGAGCACCTGCCGTCTGCTCTCCCCCTCTCCAGTGAAAAGCTCGAGCCGGATGGAGTGTTTCTGGTGGAGAACGGGGAGGAGGCGGTGGTGTGGGTGGGCAGGGAGGCGGACAGCCATCTGCTGTTTTACCTCTTTGGCCTGCGATCCGTCGATGAGATCGCCCCCGGCCCGGTGAGTGGCAACTCTTTACGCGCTTGACTTGGGTTGACTTTCTTGACTGGTGGAGAACTGGGCGGACAGCCATCTGCTGTTTGACCTCTTTGGCCTGCAATCCGTCGATGAAATCGCTCCCGGCCCCGTGAGTGGCGTGGCACCTCTTGACCCGCTTGACTTGGGTTGACTTGCTTGACCCAATCGACTGGATTCAGTAGCATGGCTTTCCTTGACCTGTTTGACCCCTCTGGGTTGCGTTCTGTCGATGAAATCGCTCCCGGCCCCGTGAGTCCCCGCGCCTGCCACCTGCTCTTGCCCCGCTTGTCACTTGACTTGGGTTGACTTTCTTGACTGGCTGCAAGAGTTTGACAACCCTGCATCGCTCAAGCTGAACGTCCTTCTGAACTGGATCGCCCCTTCCATCTCCTCTCTCGCCTTCTCCTACTACCCCCCCCTTCCACCTCTCTCCTATGCCCCTAATCTCCCCCCTTCCACCTCCTCTCTCCTCTTCTCCTAGTCTCCCCCGTTTCACCTCTCTTTCCTGCTCCTTCCCGTCACCCTTCCATCCTGCCCATCCCGCAGTTCCTGCTGCAAGAGTTTGACAACCCTGCATCGCGCAAGCTCAACGCCATTGTGAACGAGATTCGTCGCCAGCGGTGCTCGTACCTCAGGTGAGCGGCTTACAAAGAGTATGGGAGGCTTATAAGGGGTATAGGAGGCTCGTAAGGGTATGGGAGGGTTGTAAGGGTATGGGAAGCGCATATGAACCTATGGGAGACTTACAAGTTGTGTGGAGAGGCTTGTAGGGAGGATCGATGCTAACAGAACAGGTTAAGGTTAGATGGGAGGGGAAATGGAAGGTTTTGCCTCCGAGTTGTTTCGTTTCTGTCACTCTTCTGCCATGAATCACACTGTTCTGGCCCCCAACCTCTTTGGCGTTTTCACGTACCCACCCACACCCACTGCAACCACACCCACACACACACGCACACACACACCCACACCCACACGCACACCCACACCCACACCCAGCTCCACCCGACCCCCCCCTCCCCTCTCCCCCCTCCCCTCTTTCCTCTTCCCCATCCCCCACACATGCACTAATCTCCCTCCCCCCCGCATCCTTTAACCAAACCTGCAGGCTTCGGCTTCTCAAGAGAGGTGATCCATCAGGTATGAGATTGCATTCCTTTAACATTAAAGGTCATATGTATAAGACTGTGTTTCTTGTGCGGCTTTCCTCCCTTATGTGTCTCTTCGTTCTTACTCATCGCCTCACTGGCCTTTCCATCCGTCCAGTGCAGTAACACTTCCTTATTGTGCAACGCTTTATTTGTGTACGTTTGATGCCTTTCATCCCATGTCTCACATCAGAGAATATTTTCTTTCAAACGCTGGTCGAGGACCGTTCGCCGTCGGGGATGTCCTACGTGGAGTTTTTGGTGTACGTGCACCGGCAAATACAAAACAAGATGGGATAGGAAAATCGACAGTGTATTGTAGCTTGAGCTTTTGACAATGGGAGCGGGACAGTAGGGAAATAGAGTGAGTATTTGATTAGATGTCTTCGAACTTGGCATTATTGGGGAACAGAAAGTGGCAGTAATTGTTTCCAACAATTTCTTATACACAGCAGTCCATATTACTCAGGTAGTGGGACTTTTACTTAGTAGTGTTATTGGTTTACTGAAGTAAAGTTTCACGCACCCGCGCTGTGAGCTCTTCCCGCCAAGAAATTTGGAGAGCCTGCCGACACGCGGCTCGCGGAAACCTGGTTCAGGTTCGAGTTTCCCAGTGGCATACAGTGGGTTTGTGTGCGGCTTGCAAGTGAGGTACGGCCGAGCCGGAAACGCTTGGGATGTTTCTAGGGAGACCCCAGGGGAGGAGATCGACGGCGCGTATGCCACCGACGTTGTCAGAGGTGTTTCTCCGCTAGGTTCCTAATTTCTTGCGAAAATTAGGAACACCGGCTCTTGCGAAACACCTTCCCTCGCACCGTCCATAATTGCCGTCCTTCCCTCGTTCCGTTTTTCCTCTCTGTGAGTCAGCGAGGCGGTCCGTTTCCGTCGCGGTAAACGGACAAATTGCCACTTGCGTCCTTTTCAGTGCCATGTAGGCAAGAGTCGTGTAAAGCGAAGTGATGCAATGAATACAGTCTTACCTGGTTGCCTTTGACGCGCCGACAGGACAGCACGTGGCGTTGACGACATCGTGTGTCCCTGTCATCACACGCACCAACACTGGGATCACCTTTCATCCATAGTGGTTTCCCTTCCCTGATATTATTCGTAACACCATAGCCTCGCAGCTATCTCTCTCCAAAGGCTGTCAAGTTAGCGAGTTAGAGCAGTAACGGCTCTTATCGACGTGGAACTTTCGAATCGACTCCGAAGGCTGTCAAGTTACAGAGCAGGAACGGCTCTTATTGACGTGGAACTTTCAAATTTACTCAAAAGTCACCTCCGTTTGGAGTAACGTCCTTTAGCCCCGCAGGACCCCCTGACACGTCAGCTCTACCGGTTGAGTCGGCTAGCCGCTGCTCAGGCTCCTCAGAACGCGAACCGCTATTTACAAGCTACCTGTCATAGAGTAGTAATTGCTTCAATCACCACTGCCCGTTACAGTCACGTTGACCAGTTACAATCAGAGACCCCCCGTTACAGGAACATTCCATAACCCGCTAGCACTCACCCGAACAATCACACCCTAAATTCGAATCCACTACGCACCTCACGGCTTCGATGGGAACTATTAGGCGGGCCATACGCCACGCGGGAAATATCCCTGCTAAAGTCGGCCCACTCTTAGGTCTGCTACTACTTAGCAGCATCTGCTGCCGGCCGTGCGACGCGCTGCCGGTGCAGTATCTGCGGCTCGGCTTTATTCTCCCGAGTCCCGAAGTCAACATCGGCATCACCAAACGGCTGGCGGACGAATGGTGAGTTACGCTCGTTACTGTCATACTCCTCTTACTCACACTCCTCTCACTCACCTTCCTCTCCTTCTCCCACCCTGCTCTCACTCTCTCACCTCCGCTCACTCACCCTTCTTGCTTTTCACCCAACACCCCTCTTGATGTCCCCTTCATCTCTCTCCCCCCCTCCCGCCACCTCCCCTTCGTGTGTCTACCTCCATTCGCAAAGCCAGGAGCTGGTAGCTCTTTTCAAAGCGCCTCCTGAATCATCTCTCCCTCCCCCTCCCGCCGTCTCACCTCCGCGTCTCCCTCCATTTGCAAAGCGAGGAACTGGTAGCTCTTTCCAAAGCGCCTCTTGAGTCATCTCTCCCTCCCATCCCGCATACTTCCTCTCAGTACCTCCTTCCATTAACAAAGAACGGAGCTCTTGGCCGTTACCCTCCCGTATCAACTCCTCCCTCTGATTTGTACGCGCTGTTAGGATGTCCGCTACAAGGGTGGCGCTGGACGTGCTCGGGCCCCGTTATAATGCAACTTTTAATGTCATGCCAGTGGTGGAGGTGGTGCCGTGCAATAGCGAGGATGCAGCAGTGGCAGCAGAGGTAAGATTGACTTCAAATGGGAAAGGGGGAGCAACAGGGGGAAAGGGGTGGAGAAGGGGGCGTTGGAAAAAGGTTGCACCTTATTTGTTAGTTGTTAGCTTTTAGGTTACAACTTTTTGAGTGAGGTTCGTCCCGACTGCTGTGGAGGGAGCCAACTCCTCGTGTCCTTGGGTGCCTTTTGAGACGTCTCAAAATTCGTCTCAAGAGACGTCTCAAAAGTCAACTTTTTTAGTGAGGTTCGTCCCGACTGCTGTGGGGGGAGCCAACTCCACGTGTCCTCCGCTGCCTTTTGAGACGTCTCAAAAGTCGTCTCAATAGGCATCTCAAGAGACGTCTCAAAAAAAAAAAAAAAAAAAAAAAAGTGAGGTTCGTCCCGGCTGCTGTGGGGGGGGCCCACTCCACGAGTCCTCCGCTGCCTCAACCCCTCCCCTCACTACCCACTGCTCCCCTCTCCCATTCTTGAGGCGCCTCAAAAGATTTTTGAGGCGCCTCAAAAAGGTTCGTCCCGGCTGCTGTGGGGGGAGCCCACTCCACGAGTCCTCCGCTGCCTCAACCCCTCCCCTCACTACCCACTGCTCCCCTCTCCCATTCTCTCCTGCCCTCCCATTCTCTCCTGCCCTCCCATTCTCTCCTTCCCTCCCATTCTCTCCTGCCCTCCCATTCCCTCATGCCCTCCCATTCCCTCATGCCCTCCCATTCTCTCCTGCCCTCTCATTCCCTCATGCCCCCCCATTCCCCCATGCCCTCCCATTCCCTCATGCCCTCCCGTCCCCTCCTTTATCCCTTCGCCTATCCGTTCAGCGACTAGCCTTAATGGACGTGGTGGGACCTTCCTGCTCGGAGGCAGTGAGGGGAGGCAACCCCGTACCCCCCATATACCCCATACTCGCCACATACTCTCCCCCTCCCCTCTCCCCCCTTCCCTTCGCCTATCCATTCATCGTCTAGACTTTATGAACGTGGTGGGACCTTCCTGCTCGGAGGCAGTGTGGGGAGCCAACCCCGTGCTCTTCCTATCCCCTCCCTTCTCCCTTCACCTGTTCTCCCAGCGTCTAGACCTGATGAACGTGGTGGGGGTGGTGGGACCGGCGTGTTCTGAGGCTGTGAGGGGAGCCAACTCCGTGCTACAGCCTTCCATATACCCCACTCTCACCCCCCACTCCTCGCCCCTCTCCCAGCGTCTAGACCTGATGAACGTGGTGGGGGTGGTGGGGCCGGCGTGCTCCGAGGCAGTGAGGGGAGCCAACTCCGTGCTACAGCCCCCCATATACCCCACTCTCACCCCCCACTCCCCACTCCCCACCCTTCCCGCTTCCAGCGTCTAGACCTGATGAACGTGGTGGGGGTGGTGGGACCGGCATGCTCCGAGGCAGTGAAGGGAGCCAACTCCGTGCTACAGCCCAAAGGGATCTCCTACGTGTCCTTTGCTGCTACTGCTGATGTGTTCAACACGCCAGATTATAACACGTTCTTCAGAACTGTGTGAGTGGGTGGGTGTGGGTGTGAATCGGTGGGAGTGGGTACTTGGGGTGCTCTCTTTGTCTCGAGAAGGGACTCCGCAAAGGTATTCCCCTTCGCTGCTACGGCTGATGTGTTCAACACTCCGGATTACAGCACGTTCTTCAGAACAGTGTGAGTGGGTATAAGCGGGCGTGAATGGGTGTGAATGGGTTCTGTTGTTGCTTTCGTGTCGTTTGCTGCTACTGCTGATGTGTTCAACACCCCGGATTACAGCACGTTTTTCAGAACAGTGTGAGTAGGCTGGAGAGGTTGCTGTTGCTGTCTTGAGGGAGGGTCTCCTCCCCCCACAGCCCACGGCTGGTGTGTTCAACACCCCGGATTACAACACGTTCTTCAGAACAGTGTGAATGGGTGGGAATGGGTGGGAGTAGGTGGGAGTAGGTGGGAGTGGGTGCAAGTGGGTGTGAGTGAGTGCTGCATTGAGAGCGGGCTCCTCCTCCCCGCACACCCAACGGCATTCCCTATGGGTCCTTCGCTGCAACAGCTGGTGCGTTCAACACCCCGGATTACAGCACATTTTTTAGAACAGTGTGAGTGGGTGGGGATTTGTGGGAGTCGGCGGTAACAGGTGTGAATGGGTGTGAAGTGGTGCTCTAGTTGCCTTGGTGGCATTTGCTCTTCCTTCCCACACACCCCAAGGGGATTCCCTTCGTATCCTTTGCTTCTAATGCTGACGTGTTCAACACGCCGGATTATAACACGTGTTTCCGGATTGTGGGAGTGGGTGGAAATTGGTGTGACTGGGTGGGAATGGGTTGGAGTGTGAGGAGGGGAATGGGATTCAAAATACTGAGAAGAATACCTTGCCCCAATATTCATCCTAGCCTTCCCCCACTTGCTCCTCTCCTTCCCTGTCCTCCTTACAAGCAGCTTCGCTGACAAGCACCAGGCCAGGGAAATCGCGGCGCTGATCAGATTCTTCCAGTTCGACGAAGTCCATCTGTTCTACTCCAACGAGATTTACGGCTCAGATCTCGCCTCCAAGATCCGTGCTGAGCTGGACGGCTCACTCATCCCCGTCAGCACCATCCCCGTCAGCTACCCCGTGGACGAGTTTGCGCCGCTCTTCGCTGACGTGGCGGTCGGGGAGAGGTCCATCTGCGTGCTCGCCGCCCTGCCAGCTGTCGCGGAGGGGTTCTGGCGGGCGGCTGTGAGGGAGGTGAGTAGATGGAGAGGTGGCGAGGGGTGAGTTGTGGGGAGAAGAGGGGGGGTAAAGGGAGGAGGGAGTAGGTAGGGGGAGGAGAGTAGGGGGGGAGAAGGGAGGGGGGTGCGAATGCAAATTCTCTGCGTTCTCCTCTGCGTTCTCCCTTCTCCAATCCCTCTCCTCGGACCTTAACTTTCCACCCCGGGTGGTTCCTTCCTTCCGATTGCGTTTGTCTTTGTTCAACCATTATCTCTCCTCTCCCTTCCCCCCTCGCCGATCCCCCCTCTCCCTGTCTAACCAAAATTCCACTCGTTACCTCTGGTGTTGCTGATACCTTCATCCCTTGACTCACATGACGTTTTGCACTTTTCCTTCCATTCTCTTTTTTCTTTCTCTTGTCTCCCCAGAACTTCACTAGCTACCCCTGGTGGTACCTGGGGACTGACGGCGTGGCAGCTCTTGACTTCGTTGACCAGTGTGAGCTTTCCCTCTCACTCTCTCACCCACTCTCTCACCTACTGTAATCACAATGTGGGGTTACTTACACAGCACAGGCACATTCTTACCTCGCAGCAATGGTCCAGGCTCGGCAAGCACCACTCTCACCTTTCTTTTGAGGCGCCTCAAAATTTGTCTCATGTCTCGTGGTTTTGAGGCGCCCCTAAACACAGCACAGGCACATTCTTACCTCGTAACAATGGTCCAGGCTCGGCAAGCAGCAGTCTCACACCTTTCTTTCTCCCCTCCCTCTCTCCCTGTTTCTCCGTCTCTTCCTTCTACAGCCGGGGAGAGGCTCGGAGGTATGGCTAGGTCACTGCAAGGGGAGATGGCTGTCGGTCCCAACAGTAAGTTCAGGCAGACCGAGTCAGGTACTTGTGACAATGTCAGGCAGACCATGTCAGTAAGTTGAGGATGTCTTTTGAGACGTCTCAAAAGCCAACATTAAGTTCAGGCAGACCATGTCAGGTACTTGTGACGATGTTAGGCAGACCATGTCAGGTACTTGTGACGATGTTAGGCAGACCATGTCAGGTACTTGTGACGATGTTAGGCAGACCATGTCAGGTACTTGTGACGATGTTAGGCAGACCATGTCAGGTACTTGTGACGATGTTAGGCAGACCATGTCAGGTACTTGAGACGATGTTAGGCAGACCATGTCAGTAAGTTCAGGATGTGCTTGACAGTGAGAGTTTATAGCAATCAATGGAGGAGGGTCGGGGCTTTCAATGGCTCTTTGAAAGCCCTATCCTATGGAGGAGGGTCGGGGCTTTCAATGGCTCTTCAAAAGCCCCGGCCTTTGTTCTCTTCACATATTGCCGCGGCGCACAAGTGGCCCTCATTCTCCCATTTCTCTCCTTTCCCTCCTCTCCCTCCTCCCCAGTGCCCTTTGAGAGTCCCAACTTGCGTCCATTCACGAACCACTGGAAGAAGCAAGCTGCGGACGATTACGTTGGGCTCATCAATGCGCCGACCACGCCAAAGGTAGGAGCGCGCTTGAAGTTGACTCGGTTCCCAACCTGCGCCCCTTCACAAGCCACTGGAAGCAGCAAGCCGCAGACGATTACGTCGGGCTCATCAATGCGACGACCACGCCAAGGGTGAGAAGATGCTTTGTGTGTGGCATTGTAACACAGTTGCTTCTGGGTCCCCTTGAAAGCACGAAGACTCAAAGGATGTTGGCTCAGCCCCCAACCTGCGTCCTTTCACAAACCACTGGAAGCAGCAAGCCGCAGACGATTACGTTGGGCTCATCAATGCGCCGACCACGCCAAAGGTGAGAGCATGTGACCTGCTGCCTGCTCCCTGCTCTCTGGTGTGTTTTGAGTCAACTCAACCTAACCTGTAAGCAGCAAGCCGCAGACGATTACGTTGGGCTCATCAATGCACCGACCACGCCAAAGGTGAGAAGATGTTTCGTGTGTGGTATTGTAAGGAGGCGACAAAAAACAGCTGTTCTGTCACAAGATTACTGTCTAGTCAACAAAAGGCAGGCGGCCTATGGTCATGTGGGGCTGGTCAATGCTGGTCAATGCAGTCAATGCACAAAGCCAAGCACCCCACCCCAAGGTGGGGAGATGTGTCTAGAGAAAATGCATCATCCTCAGCTCCTCCTAGCCCCAACCTGCGTCCGTTCACTGACCCTCACTGTCCTGCGCACCAATCGTTTCATTTTCCCCACTCACCCATTGTCTCAACGCCCTCTCCCTCTTCACTCAACCACGCACTCGCTCATTCACTCCTCAAGCCTAAAGGCATCTCTCATTGAGCAATACAGACTGAGTCCATCGAATGACTATTACTTACAATTCCCCCCGGCACGCCATACAGTATAACGAGACGCGCTTATACGTGGCGCATCTGATCGACTCCATCTGGGCCTTCTTCGAGGCGTTTCGGAACATCATAGCCGTCCAAAACCGGGCGGTAACCGTGCAAGCCGTTCTTGAGTGCTTCCGAAACCAGCCGGCCGGTTGCGGGCGGTTCGAGGGAGCATCGGGAACAGTGGCGTTCAATACAGTCACGGGGGAGAGGCTGAAGCTAGATGGGGTGCCAGCTTACAGTCTTTACAACTTGATTGGAAAGACGTGGAAGGTGAGTGTGTGTGTGACTGATTGCATTTGATACAATCACAGGCGAATGGTTGAAGCTAGACGGGGTGCCGGCTTACATTCTCTACAACCTCGCTGGCAAGACGTGGAAGGTGAGTGTAGTTGTGTGTGGATGGGGGGGGGGTCCCTGCATGTGTACATTCTCTCTACAGTGTGACTGGGAAATTGGCGACTGGCACTATCCACCTACACTCCCCCTCCCATGCTCCCTCCACCTGTCTGTTGTATCTCCTCTCCTTCCTCCTGCCCGGAACCCTCTTCCTCCAGGAGAAACCCAAGTGGGTGTTGAACGGCTCAGATGGCGTCAAGCTGATGGATCCAACGGACTATGTCACTCGGCCAGGACCTCTGCCAGCTGGCTCGCTGTTGCCCTTGCAGCACCAGATTGTGGCTCCGTAGTAGCATGATATGGATAGTGTGACATTATGTTTTGTAGGTGTATGTGTGGTGCATTCAAACATCGAACACAATTTCCATGCTGAAATATCAGAGTCCGTCCAACAAACAGAAAATAAAATAAATACACTTTACCTCCACCTTGTGATTGGAACTGAAGGGTTGGGGGGACGTGGAAGGGCAAATGACAATCTAGAAATAGAGAGTTTCAGCAGAGGAGGAAAAGAAACAAACAAGATGGACATTTTAGAAGCGTTACACTGGCTGTCAAATGTTGTAGCCTCTAGTGGGTCATGCTATATGGGGTACAAACAGTTAGGGTTAGGCATTTGTACCCCAACCCAATCAATCCAACTCATTCCGCTGTGTTTAGTTTCTGAGATGGTATCAGCAGTAGGTTCGCCGTTCCTAGGCCACACTTGGTCTCCGCCGTTCCTAGACTTCGGCCGTCACTAGCCTTGGCGTGAAACCCCCCCCTCCTTCGCCTGCTATAAGCACGCTAGCCAGCAGGCCCGCCAGCGCCCTAGCCAGCAGGCCCGCCAGCGCCTTAGCCAGCAGGCCCACCAGCGCCCTAGCCAGCAGGCCCGCCAGCGCCCTAGCCAGCAGGCCCGCCAGCGCCTTAGCCAGCAGGCCCGCCAGCGCCCTAGCCAGCACGCCCGCCAGCGCCTTAGCCAGCAGGCCCGCCAGCGCCCTAGCCAGCAGGCCCGCCAACGCCCTAGCCAGCAGGCCCGCCAACGCGCACGCCAGCGCGCACGCCAGCGCCCACGCCAGCGCGCCCCGCCAGCGCGTCTCGCCAGCGCGCACGCCAGCGCACCACGCCGGCGCGCACGCCAGCGCGCCATGCCAGCGCACCGCGCCGCACCGCCGCCCGCCTGTCCGCATTCCGCGCCGCCTGCCTACCTGCACGCCTGCGCGCTTGCCCACACGCCACTGACTGTCTCCCCCTCCCGTGGCTGGCAGCCGCGCTCTCTCTGTTTCGCCCCCTATGGCGACCTCCCGAGTACTTCGATTTGACAATGAAGGGAGACCGATTGACTTTAATACGTGGCTTACGCAGGCGCAGCGCCACCTTAAGAGCCAGCGGCAGGATGGCGTGCACCTGTTCCTACACGCGTCCGGCACTCAGACCGCCCCTCCGTAGCCTCAGCCTCTGCCCACTACCCCACCGCCTACTTCTGAGCAGGAGGCCGACTACCAGCGCCAGCTCCTCGCTCGCGACGTGTGGGAGTCTCGTGACGTCGCTGCCTACCTCGCCCTGACCGACCTTCTCCCGCGGACAGAGGCAGTCCACTTTGCTCAGGTCGAGTCTGCTGCAGATCTGTATAAGGCTATTGTTACTCGCTACTCCACTCCCTCCTCTGCTTCGCTCAGTCGCCTCCTCGTACCCTTTATCTACCCTGACCTCGCCTTCTTTGAGACTGTCTCTGACCTCGCTACTCACCTGTGCTCCCTTGATGCTCGCTCGTTGCTTGCACTGAGGACCAGCTTGCCCTTGCCCCACCCCCTATGTGGCTCACTATTCACTGGTTAGTCACTCGCCTCCCTGACCGCCTAGCCACAGCCCGCGACGCGCTTCTTCTGAAGCACCCCACTGAGCTTACCATCGATCTTCTTGAGACTGCTCTCTCGAAGATCGAAAGTAACCTCCTCACTGTTGCCTCTGCCTCTTCCACGCCTCCTCCTCGTCTTTTTGAGGGGTGTGCGGTACCACAGCTTCCCACCTTCTCTGCCTCACTTGCCACCCCCACGTCTTCTGCCTCTGAGGAGACGGCGGCTGTTTCTGTCTCTGGCGGGCAGAAACGTGGCAAGGCTGGTAAGAGGGGCGGGAAGGGCGGGGGGGGTACTGGAGGTGGTGCGGGTAGTGGCGGTGGCGGTGGAGCAGGTGGTGGGAGTGGTGGTGGGGGTGGCTCGGGACCTGACGGCCCTCCTTTCGACGGTGGAGTTTTCACTGGTGGTGAGGGGTCCCAGCAGCAGCAGCAGCCGACTCCTCAGCAGCTGCCACCGCCTGGACAGCAGCAGCAGCAGCAGCAGCAGCAGCAGCAGCGACAGGGCCATCAGCAGCGCCCGCCACAGCAGCAGCCTCAGCAGTGGGGCCCTCCGCAGCTGTGGGGCCCTCCGCAGCAGTGGGGCCCTCAGCAGCAGTGGAGGTCTGCGGGTCCCCCGAGCACTGGGCGCAGTGGCGCCCCCTCCAGTCGGGGACCTCGCTCAGCCGGCCGCGACGTTGGTCCCTGTGAGTACTGGATCCTTACGGGTCCTCGTCGGGACTCGTATTGTGGCCGCCCCGACCACTCTGCTGCACGCTGCTTCAGTCGTCTCGACGACCTCTACCACTTGCACCACGGCCCCTCCGCTCCCCCGCCGCCACGCTGGGGGACACTTCTTGCTCGTGGTATTGCTGTTTTTGATATGACTATGGATGATGCTAGGTCATATGCCATGTATGCTGATGTTGACTATAGTGCTCCTGGATCTGTGTACTTGCCTGTACCTAGCTTAGGATCTTTGCCCGTTGCTAGAGTAGGTGCTATTGTAGGATCTTGTTTAGCTACTAGTACAGGTACTCCCTCGACGGACGCCTCTCTCTCCTTCACACTGGACTCCGGAGCGTCACATTGCTTCTTCCGCGACTGCACGACTCTCTCTCCGCTACCGGCGCCTGTCCCTGTAGCACTGGCCGATCCCTCTTCGGGACCGGTCATTGCGACTCACGCCACTACACTCCCGTGCCCAACTGCTCCTTCCGGTTCCCTGATTGGCCTCCACGTTCCTACGTTCTCTAGGAACCTTGTTGGTGTGGGCACCCTGGCGAGACAGCACGTCGGGGTCTGGGTTGAGCCTTCTGGTGACACCGCGGTCTGTGTGGACGGTGACACGTACGCCCCCTTGGCCACTTTTTGCCAGGAGCCGAGCTCCGGTCTGTACACCCTCCGCACCGACCCCCGTCAGGTTCCCCCGTCCCACCAGGTAGCCGGGTCCAGTCAGGTTGTTGTGTCAGGTGTAGTTGCTGCGTCGTGCTCGTGTCGGTCGCTTGCCCACCCCTCCCTCCTCTAGCACCACCGCCTTGGTCACCCTTCCCTCCCTCGTCTCCGCGCTATGTCCAGTCAGCGTCTTGTCTTAGGCCTCCCCCGAGTCCTCCCGCCACTCCCGCCGTCCCCAGCTCCTCCGTGCGGTCCTTGTGTCCAGGGTCGGCTGCGCGCCACCCCTCACTCCTCCTCCCTTCGTCCGGCCACCGAGCCCTTCGAGAGACTCCACTTAGACGTCTGGGGCCCCGCTCCCCGCCTTGGCCCTGCGCGTGAGAGTTTCTTTCTGGTGGTCGTTGACGACTACTCTCGGTACACCACCGTGTTCCCTTTGGCGAAGAAGTCCGACGTGACTTCTACGCTGATCCAGTGGCTCCTCGCCACCGAGGGCACTCGCGGTCGTCGTGTCAGTTGTCTTCACTTTGACCGTGGGGGTGAGTTTCGCTCCGGCATTCTCGCCAGATTCTATGCTGAGCAGGGCATCACCCAGTCCTGGACTCTTCCAGACTCTCCACAGCAGAATGGGGTTGCTGAGCGCCGCTTAGGCCTGGTCATGGAGATCGCCCGCACCTCCATGATCCACGCCCGCGCGCCCCATTTTCTGTGGCCCTACGCGGCTCGGTACGCCGCTCACAAGCTGAACCTCTGGCCTCGCGTCTCTCGGCCAGGGGCTTCACCGACCAGTCTTTGGACAGGGTCCCCTGGTGTTGCGTCGAGGTTTAGTGTCTGGGGCTGCTTGGCTCTTGTCCGCGACACCTCTGCGGACAAGATCTCGCCTCGCGCTGTCCCCTGTGTCTTCCTTGGTTTCCCAGAGGGCTCCTCTGACTTCACCTTTTACCACCCTCCCTCCCACCGGTTCTTTGACTCTCGTGACGTCCGCTTCGACGAGTCCGTCCCCTACTACGTCCGGTACCCCTGTCGAGGTCTCCCGGTTCCCCCCCCTCCCCTCTTCCTGGCTCCAGCTCTTCCTCCTCCCGCCCCTACTCCTCCGGTACCCCCCCTGTTCCCGCTCCTTCTGGTGTGTCCCACGCTACTCCCCCCCCCTTGGTACCCCCCCAGGTCTCTCCTCCTTCCCCACAGTCATCCTCACCGCCTTCGCAACAGCCGTCGGCGCTTCCTTTACCGGCAACTGCGGCCTCTGAGGGTGTTGGTGCTCGAGGTGAGGGCTCTGGCGGTGCTCGCTCTGGGGGTGCTGGCGTTGGAGCTGTTCGTGCACCTACAGGAGCAGCCAGTTCTGGGGGTGTTGGCGTTGGCGCTGAGCGTGCACCTGCCGTAGCTGCCCGTTCCGAGGGTACTGGAGCTGGTGGTGGTGCTGGAGCTGGTGGTGTTTCTGGAGCTGGAGAGTCTGTGGCTGGTGCTGGTGCCACTGGAGGCACCACGAATGGGGGTGCGGGTACACCTCCTACAGGTACTGGTCGTGCTGCCGCGGGAGGTACTCGCTCTGGGGGTGCTCAGCCGGGTACTGTCGAGGACGGAGCCGGTTCTTCAGCTGCGTCTCCCGACACCACTCCTCCTCCTCACCCCTAACCGACTCGTTACCAGGCCCTTCTTCGTCTAGAGCGTGAGGCGCAACAGCGTTTGGAGCGTGAGAGGTTGGAGTTGCAGCGGGAGCAGCAGCAGCAGCAGCAGTAGCAACAGCAGCAGCAGCAGCAGCAGCAGCAGCAGCCGCAGCAGCCGCAGCAGCCTCCGGCCCCTGTTTCTAGCCTTCGGGCCCTTGGTCTCCCCTCCTCTCCTCCTGTGTTCGGTCCTACTTTTCCTCCTCCGGACTCAGCTCCGGCTGTGTTCCCTCGTTCTCAGTCTCCTACGTCTCCCTCTCCTCTCGCCCACACTTGGACCTCTTGTCCCCCTCGTGCTCGTCCTTCGTCACCTGTCACTGACCTCCGTACCGTGTTGTTTCGTCCTAGTCCTCCTCGTCCTCCTCCGTCTGTTCTTCCTTGTCCTCCTGAGTCATCTCTCACTGCCTCCCTGACCACTCCGGTCACTGAGTACTACCGCACGTACCGCCCTACTCTCTCTCGTGTTCTTGCCTCTCTTGTTACAGACCCTCGTGCCTCTCCTTCCTCCGTCACGGTCCTCAATGCCGCTGTCACTGACTTTACTGCCATGCGTCGCCTTGACTACGCCACTCGTGTTGTGGCCGCTCCTCCTGTCCGTCCTCTGAACGCCGGGGGTGAGTCTGCCTTTGGCTGTGACGTCCTAGAGGACAGACAGTTTGAGCTAGAGTTCCTGGCAGCTGCTTCGCCTCATCTCTGTGCCATGCTCCTCGTTCCTGAGGGAGACCCCGACGCTCCTGACATACCTACTCCTCGCACTTACGCTGTGACGATCTAGGATCGAGCTCAGAAAAGAGAGTTTGAATTGAATCGAATGATCACCTGGGTACAACACGAGGCTATATATAGGCTCGACACAAGGCCCCGTAACCAGGTGTTACGCGAAGGTTCCGCGGGTCGCGAAGCGTCCCGAACAGATCCTTCCCGAATTCGGTAGCAGGCAATTCGGTGGCAACCGAAAAGCCAGAATTCGGTGCACGCAACCTAGCTCGGTGCTATAACTATAATAAAATATAGGAAAGCACCTAGCCTAGGAAATCAAACAATTCATGCATGCATATAATTATCCTATGCTAGAAATAGCATGATAAAGTAAAGGCAAGCAAGCATAGCTAGCATAAGCCGTCGTACTCTCACACGTCCCCCCCTCAAAGCTGGGTGGTGTGAGAAACACCCTGCTTGACAAGGTAGTCCTTGAGAGCACGGCGTGCGTTGCCCATATCAGCTTCTGCAACCCAACTGTCCTCAGTGGGGTCGTATCCCTTCCAGCGTATCAGGAACTCGAGGGTCTTGCCGTCGCGGCGCCGAT